CCACTCCCACTGAACTGTATTTAATCCAGGTGGCTAAGTATAATAAGACCTGATACGTGACTGTTTAACTTCTGTTAGAAAACCTCCAATGAAGGCGAATCCACCACCTTCTGAAGGAGTCTGTTCTACTGTTGAACAGCTATTACCATCAGAAAGTTCTTCTTGTTTGGTCAAAATCTCCTTTCTTGCCATTTAAACATATTGGTTCTGGTCCTACCCTCTGGAGCCACATAAAAACAAGCTTCTTTCCATATGGCAGCACTTCAGATTTTTAAAGATGGCTCTCATATTTCCTCTCAGTCTTCTCTTCTCCAGGCTCAACACACCCAGCTCCAGACCCTTTGTCATCTTGGTCAACCTCCTCTGAACCCCTTCCAATGTGTCATTATCTTTCTTAAATTGTGGCACCCAGAACTGGACACAGTGCTCCAGATGTAATCTTACCAGGGCAGAGTAGAGTGGTACTATTACTTCCTTTGATCTGGGCACTATGCTTCTGTGAATGTAGCCTAGAATTGCATTAGCCTTTTTTTCTGATGCATCATACTCTTGAATCATGCTAACCTTGTGATTCTTTTGAGAATCATGCCAGCCTTGTGGTCTGATAATATGTGGGTGTCTGTGGTAAGCTGCTTTGTGCACAGCCCACTGTGGAAAGGAAGCATATTGATATATTCCATCACCCAGTCGCCAGCACTGAAGTTAAGAGTCAACTGTCCATCCAGTAAAATTCTGTATGTGGAATTAAGGGAAGGGGTGTCATCTTGTCCTTCACTTGCATGTGTGAAGCAAGCAATCTCTCCCCACCCTTTTTCCCATTCTCCAAAATGGGAGGGGGAACTGTGCCTCACTTTGAAGAGACTTCAAGAGGACATACCAGATCCTAAGCTGAATTCAAGCCATTATCTTTTTTCAAAGCTGTAATAAAAACTAGGTTGTGAGATATTGAACGCCAAGAACTAACAGTAGCAGCAGAGAAAACATGTTCCCCTCTTTATTTTCAACTTTCTTGGGCGCATGAAACTAACCACAGTTACCTTGAATTTCTGCTTAAGCCTCAAGAAAGAAGGGCATTTTTGCTGGCCAGGTTTAATTCAAATCCATCAAACCTCCTTTGAGGAAGGTTCTCAGGCATGGTGGAAGGAGAAAGAACTTGCCCATGTGAAGACTACCTGGTGGAAACCCTTACACATATGGGTTAATTGTAAACGATATGCTGATCTCCGCCAGCAATTTCTAGATCAACTTTCCATCCCCAAATGGAAACCAGAGTTGGAGGTCATTCATTTTCTATTACTGGGGAAAGATCAGGAGCTCGCCAGGTTAGTGGCTAAATATCTCTATTTGGTTTGTCATTGAAATACACTGCAGACGTCTGATCTCCCTGGAGACCTAGAGATGTGACGATAGACTGCTCTGCCTCCTTTCTTTTAGCAAATGTTTTGTGCCACTGGGAAAGTGGTAATTCTGTATTGATTTGTTTTGGATGTTTGTATGTGATGCCAATAAAAGGTTTGTAATATAATGATGAGGGATGCAGGTGGCACTGTGGGTTAAACCACAGAGCCTAGGGCTTGCCGATCAGAAGGTCGGCGGTTCGAATCCCCGTGATGGGGTGAGTTCCCGTTGCTCGGTCCCTGCTCCTGCCAACCTAGCATTTCGAAAGCACGAAGTGCAAGTAGATAAATAGGTACTGCTCTGGTAGGAAGGTAAACGGCGTTTCCGTGCACTGCTCTGGTTCTCCAGAAGCGGCTTAGTCATGCTGGCCACATGACCACAGAAGCTGTATGCCAGCTCCCTCGGCCAGTAAAGTGAGATGAGCGCCGCAACCCCAGAGTCATCCGCAACTGGACCTAATGGTCGGGGTCCCTTTACCTTTAATATAATGATGACTTCATTTCAGAGCTTGGATCTTGAGAGAACCCTGGCTAGATGTTAGCAGCATGTAGCCATTGTACGATCCCAGCGAAATGTTGACACGCACACACACACACACACACACACACTTGCACTTTAATGCATGAGATATGTACATCTCAATGTGCTGTTCAATTACAAAGCCAATAACAGGATGGCTTTTATTTAAGAGCCAAACAGTAGCTGGTGTTTCAGAGGAGATACCAAGCTCAATGGACCGTCGGCGCTTTCCGCTCTAGCAATTCCTATCTAACCCGTAGGAATCTGAGAAATTGGATTGGTAATGGGATTGGGAGCCTTTCACCTCCAGACCAACCAACTAAAAAAAATAAAAATAAAAAACCTACCACCCAGCACATGTGGGCAAAGGAAAGTCATTACCAACTCAATGCCGCTCCCGGAAGCTGCACATGTGGGATGAGTTAGTGGGTCTGCAGCACAGGAGCTGGAGGTGAGGGTAAGGTTTGCAGAGGTCTATCAGGATCTATCAGAGTCAGGGACAGTGGGGGATGCCTAAGGCCAAGAGGCTCAGAGCATAACAAGCAATAGGTGAATGATGGTAGAGAATGGGCCAACCCTTATACCAGATGAGAATAGCCTGGGCTGGAGCTAGGAATGGAGGATGAGTTTCCTCAGTTCATGGTTTATGATGATGATGATATTTATACCCACCCATCTGGCTTGATTTCCCCAGCCATTCTGGGCTGCTTCCAACAGGATATTAAAAAGGTAAAGGTACCCCTGCCCGTACGGGCCAGTCTTGACAGACTCTAGGGTTGTGCGCTCATCTCACTCTAGAGGCCAGGAGCCAGCGCTGTCCGCAGACACTTCCGGGTCACGTGGACAGCGTGACGAAGCTACTCTGGCAAGCCAGAGCCGCACACGGAGACGCCGTTTACCTTCCCACTAGTAAGCGGTTCCAATTTATCTACTTGCACCCGAGGGTGCTTTCTAACTGCTAGGTTGGCAGGCGCTGGGACCGAGCAATGGGAGCGCACCCCGCCGCGGGGATTCGAACCTGCCGACCATATGATCGGCAAGTCCTAGGCACTGAGGTTTTACCCACAGCGCCACCCACGTCCCCTAAACAGGATATTAAAACAGGGTATTAAAAACACAATAAAAGGTCAAACTTTAAAAACTTCCCTAAGCAGGGCTGCCTTCAGATGTCTTCGAAAAGTCAGAGAGTTGTTTATTTTTTTGACATCTGATGGCAGGGCATTCCACAGGGCGGGCGCCACTACAGAGAAGGCCCTTTGTCTGGTTCCCTGTAACCTCACCTCTCACAGCGAGGGAACTGCCAGAAGGCCCTCGGCGCTGGACCTCAGTTTTAATGCCACCCTACCAAATTTGCACTACCCAATCTAAAAACACATGCTGAAGTGCAGCTATCTCCTTAATGTACAAAGGTAATATTTGTATTTGTTGCTCTGCCACCTGTTGCCTCTGGCCCCACCCAGCACTGCCATGTGGGCCCCAGAAAGTTGCCCAGAAGGAAATGCAACCCTTTAGCTGAAAAACACTCCCCACCCCTGCCTTAGAACAGGGGATTTCAATGGCACCCGTTGGTATGTCTCAAGAAGGGTGCAAAGGGAGGCTTGAGCATCAGTGGTTAAGTGAACGTACCTGAGCATCTCTTCTGATATACTTCACCCAATATGTGCATTGTCTGGAGAACGTTTATTGTTCCCCTGCACCCCACACTAATGTGCACGCCTCCTGTTACGGTACTTCACTCTGCCGCGCATTACCTACAATCTGTCGGGCTAATTTGCTCAACAGCTTTGTTCTCCCTTGGGAACAGAGGTTGTTGGTCACAGAAGATTGAGTAAGCTCCTGGTGAATCAACATTAATGAAAATCAACAACGCCTAATGAGTGTTTTTTTGTGTGGCAGCTTCCGTAAAGAAGACAGTAAACAAAAGTCAGATAACAACACAGGTCGACCTTTCCATCCTCTCCTCCCTTCTGTCTCATCCTCTTCCTTTTAGGAAGGGAGGTTGTTGAAGGAACTTCAGGAGCTAATTCAGCAGCTGGACCTGTGTAAGGTAGATTTATTTATTTATTTATTTATTTATTTAGAAAAAATTGACTGTTTTGGAATTTCTGCCTTCATGGAGAAGAAGGATGTCATTGTTCTACCTCCACTGTTGGAGGCAGTATGCTTCTGAACAGAAGTTGCTGGAGATCCCAAGTGGGGAAAGTGTTGCTGCCCTCAGGCCCTGCTGGTAGGCTTTCCACCGGTCAATCTGAGACAAGTATGCTGGTCAAAAATGCTTCCGTTCAGTTGGAAAAGGTTCAGAAAAGGTAAACAGAAATGATCAAGGGGGTGGAGTGATTCCCCTATAAGGAAAGGCTGGAGCATTTGGGACTTTTAGAGAATAGGCAAGTGAGAGGAGACATGATAGATGGTTTATAAAAGTATGGGTGGCATGGAGAAAGTGGATAGAGAAACGCTTTTCTTCCACTCTCAGAACACTAGAACTCATGGACTTGCAATGAAGCTGAATGCTGGAGGATTCAGGACAGAGAAGAGAAAGTCCTTCATGTAGTTAGATGAGGGTTTCCCAAACTTGGTTCTTCAGCTGTTGTTGGACTTCAACTCCCATCATCCCTAGCTATTAGGACCAATAGTCAGGGATGATGGGAACTGTAGTCCAAAAGGAGCTAGAGACCCAAGTTTGGGAAACCCTGAGTTAGACTACTCAGGGTTCCCATGGGAGGCAGGTATGGCCGCCAACTTGGTTGGCTTTAGAAGAGGATTGGCCAAATTCAGGGGTGAGGCTCTCCAGGGCTACTAGACATGATGCTCTTCTGCCTCCATGGTAGGCAGTAACATGAGCACAACAGCAACTGGCATTCAGAGACATACGGCTTCTGACAGTGGAAGTAGACCATAGCCATCACAGCTAGTAGGGATGCCAGAGAATTCTAACTAAAAATGGAAAGTGGAGTAGAAATTGCCAGCATCTGCATATTCATCCCGTGTCCAGAATGCACTTACACAAATTGCACTTATCGTAGAATTGGAAGGGACCCTGAGGATCATCTAGTCCAACCCCCTGCAATGCAGGAATCTGCTGCTGTCCCTTACAGGGATTGAACCTGCAGCCTTGGCGTTATCAACACCACGCTCTAACCAACTGAGGAAGTTGATCCAGTGAATCCAACCACTGTTCTTGCTGCTTTCAGTCCGCAAATAGGAAATGGGTTGTTCCCACCCCCTGTTTGAATAGCATTTCCTGGGCTCTGAAATTAATGGCATAGAATTGGCATAATGCCAATATCATTTACATAATTCATTGTCTATATTGCATAAGCTAAATAAGCTGAGTAATTTTTGCAGACAGTGAGACAAATGCCATAGCTTTTGGTGGAAGATAAAATGCTGCAGAATGGAAACAGTGCTGCATGCAACAAATGCAGGATGGAATGGAAAATGGTGCCTTCGTCCATCTCTAGTGGCTGGGAACTATTGATAGCCTTGTCTTCCACAATTTTCTCTGATCCTTTTTAAAAGCCATCCAAGTTGGGGGCCATGAAAACCGGCCACTACTATCTTCCTGTACATATTCTTCTTCTTCTGGCTCAAATAAGCATGTTCTCCCCAGGCTAATATTACATGGAGATGACTCCTCCAGAAGCCAGCCTGCCTCTGATTTTGTGCAAGATGCCCCTTGGCCCCCTCTGATCTTGCCACCCACTATAGTACTGACATGGGATCCCCTTTTATGGATACCACTCATTCCAGGGACAGTAAAGGCTCTTGGATCTTTAGCTGCAGAAATGAAATATTCATACCTTGCCTTGTTCCCATACAAGCAAAGAAAAAACTAGATAAAGATTAATTCAGGGTGAAATAAACAGGATCCTTCTTTTATTCTCCACCCCCGCCCCCCACCACTGCCGCCCTTTTCCTCCTTAAATGACTTGAATATATTGAAAGGATGGGTTTTCTACACAGGAAGGATGTATATAACTGTTGATGGAGTTCCTGCCTCTCCCCTACCCTCAATATTGCCACCCCTTGCTCTCAATCCATTAGACTATCTCGTCTCCTTAATGCTACTGCCATGCTGCCTTTTCAGAGGCTTGAAATATACACTATTGTGTTTTGCCTTTAGTTTTTTTGTGTGTGCAGAAAATTCCTTTCATGTGCCTCCTTCTGTAACACTCTTTTCTTCTTTGCAGTCAAGTGCACGGATGTTTGCTGCCAGGAGACTATTGCTGCTATTGTGCGAGGTGTATTATAACAGCCTCTCTTTTCTCCCTCCCCCTTATTGTTCCACATTGTCTGTGAGATGTTGTGATGGCTGGCTGGCATAACGGGCTTTTCTCTTCCCCCTCTTCCCCCTCTTGCAGATTCGACCGGCCTGTCTTTAATTCTGCCCTCTTACTCTTCAAGGGAAACGAGGGGCAAGATGACATCCACATTTCTGCCATCCAGAGAAACAAGGCAAGAGTCACAATTGCCTGGGCTTGCCTTCTCGGATGTAGGGATGTCAGGGAATTCTGGAGAAAACAGAAACGGGAGCAGAAATTGCTGGTGTTCGGTTATACCTCCCGTATCCAGAACACAAATCAATCCAGCGAATCAATCCCTGTTGTCACTTCCAGTCTGCAATTGATATGTAATTGATTATGTTACCCCACCCAACTTGATTTGTGTTTCCTTTGCACTGAAATGAATGGAGTAGACTAACATAATGACACCATACTTTATGCAATTTACATAATTAACTATGTAGGGTGGTGTTCAGCTCAGCCTTACTCAGCACACATCCATTGAAATGAGCGAACATGACTACGTTAGGTCCATTAATTTTAACAGGCCTACCCTGAGTAAAATTTAGTTGAATATGATCCATAAATTACATAAGTTGCGTAATTTTGGTATGGTGCAAAGTGAAAAAAAGAGGAAAGTGTGGGAGATGAACTGCAGTGGAGTGGAAACAGTGCTGCACACAGCAGATACAGGATGAAATGGCGAAAGGGACCTTCTCACATCCCTAAGTCTCATGGTGTTCAATGGGGTTTATTCCCAGGTAAGTGTGTATGGGACATCGGCTTTAGGCATCACATATTTGGATGGGATGCTTTAGGGCATTTAATTCAGCCTTCTTCAGCCTTGGGTCCCTAGATATTGTTGGACCTCCATCATTCCAGACCATAGGCTAAGTTGCTTGGGGGTAATGGGAGCTAAAGTCCATCAACAACTTGGGACCCAAGGTAGAGAAGAACTGTGATCTAGTCTAAGCAAGAAATCCATAAGTAGAGCATCACCGACAAACTTGAAGACCACAAGTGGGCACATCCCATAATATATTCTGTTTGATCTGAAGTTGCTGCCATATCAATTTTGTACTGGTGAAATGCTTGCTATTTGCAGATGCTCATGTATTTTTAAATTCTATTCCCTTAGTATAGGGATTAACAGCAGAGCAAGAAAAATGGATTTTGAGAGACCTTGTGGTCGCTAAGAGACTTAAACTTCAAGCCTGGAAGGATAAACACCACCGCCTATCACATAATGGCCTTGAGACCTGACTGCCCTGCCTACATTTGAACCTATTTCTTATAGATACCAATTTCATGTGGATTCCTATTGGAGGGTTAAGGTGGTTATTTCTTTCTTTAATACATTTTTTTAAAAAAATATACAATTATGGTAGCTCAGTTGGAAGAGCATGAGGCTCTTAATCTCATGGCCCTGGGTTTGAGCCCCACATTGGCAAAAGATTCCTGCATTGCAGGGGGTTGGACTAGATGACCCTCGTGGTCCCTTCCAACTCTACAATTCTATGATTCTGTTATTATTTTTTTCCTTTTGTTCCACCTTCATTAATTTTTTTAACAAATTAACTACACCACCAGTAAAGAAAACTCTGCCACTTCTCTGGATAATCACCCACCATCTTGTTTTATGGATCTTCTGGTGTCCATGCAAAACCATCTTGCTGCTTAAGCCTGTTATATCTAGTCTTGCCTTCTGGAACCAAGCACAGAACCAATCTGACCATCACTGACCATCTCCTGACTAAACCCAGAGCTGGGCTGAACCAGGAACCATTGGATTGGTAACTGTGATGAGTCTGTGTCCACTTTTAATATACTCTAGGACTTGCTCCAAATCAGCTGGCAAAGGACCGGGGTTAGTCTGAAGCTCTTCCTGAGGAGTCCTTGGATGACAGCCACCACCTTCTGGGATTATCTCTGCATGGATGTGGAAGCTGTGGCCTTCTAGAGATTGTTGGACTTCAGTTCCCATCAGTGCCAGCCAACATAGGGAGATGGAAGCAAGGGTTCCACGCTATTTGGATGACCACCATTTCTTCAACCCTGCTCTGCAGACTAAGGAAGTAGATTCTCTTTTGCCCATTAGGCCAGAGCACAAGCATCAAAACAAGATGAGTAGAGTCAACCCTAAAAGGCAAGACTGTTCAAAAGGGAGGTTTGCATGACCTCGTGAATTGTCAGCTACAGGTCTAGTGCAACAGGCTTAAGAACTATGCAGCCAAGCTGGTCAGAGGCTGGCTGAGTTTGCTGCAGGGATCTTTCCCTTTGTGGGGTGGGGGGCTACTTCTGGAAGAGTCTTCTTCTCTATTTTGCCTTCCATTCCACAAACTGTCAGCCCCTTCTGGTCCATAAAGAACCAGAGTTCTGGATTTGAACTCAAATTATGGTAGAATAAATGGGAATTGCAATTCAGTGTCACTGAGTGGAGTGTTGCTGTTTTAGAATTCAGTGCTGCTGTTCTAAACCATTTCATTCTATCCCATTTCCGTCTTCTGTTTTTTGTTTTGTTTTTTCACATGGGGGCAAAACAATAAGGCAGCATTCTACATCAACTGAGAACACTCAGTCGCACTCAGTTTATGGCGTCCGCCCCCGCCCCCACCCCCCAAAGGATAATTTATACATTTGCAATTCTTGGAGTTACCACTAGCTTCTCAAGGCCTCTCATGCAAAGGTGGTGACACTTGGGCTGCATAAGCAATGGCACTCACACCCTGAGCATCAGAAATAGCGCGGCTGATTTGTGAAAATTGCTTTTGTGCCTTTTATTTGTAATTCTAATTGTTCTTATTTGCCAAGGGCAGTGCCTTTTCACTGGAACTGGTCCAAGGGAAATCTCTGTCTCTGTTATGTGTGAATTGCTATACTTATTTTGGCATCCTGAGTATATAGACATGCGAAGATGCATATCATTCGCATGAGCTGCTACAGTTGTCTTTTTGAGATCTAATTCTTCCCCAGGCTCCCTTAGAAGCGATGTCGCTGTGTCTGCATCTTGCCTGCAAAGCACATGCACGTAAACACATACACACTAAGGTGCCATGTAAATTTGCACAACCTGCTGCAAGATGTCAGTGTGAAGCTCATTTTCAACGGGTTGATGGTAGGAAATGATGTTTTGTCCAGCCTATGCTTAGCTCAGAGAGCACCAGCTTGCTCCACCTTTTAGAATAGTGCAGGGTGGCTTATTGAGGAATGCATGAATGCAGCAAACAGCAGAAAGAGGAGAGCCTTCAGCAATGTGTGGGAGTCTAAGTAATGATCCTTGATATGAGAATAGAAAAGGGACATGCTTGTAAACATCTTTAATCTGCCAGACGTTGGAGGCTATGTACTTTGGACTAGAGAGTACAGGGAGAGGAAGAAACATTAAGGAGAAAAGATCCATCTGTGTGTGTGTGTGTGTGTGTGTGTGTGTGTGTGTGTGTACAGTGGTACCTCGGGTTACATACTCTTCAGGTTACATACGCTTCAGGTTACAGACTCTGCTAACCCAGAAATAGTGCTTCAGGTTAAGAACTTTGCTTCAGGATGAGAACAGAAATCATGCAGCAGCGGCGCAGCGGGAGACCACATTAGCTAAAGTTGTGCTTCAGGTTAAGAATTGTTTCAGGTTAAGTATGGACCTCCAGAACGAATTAAGTACTTAACCCGAGGTACCACTGTATATGGGTTGTAGCCAATGCTAATTCTTCCCACTGAAGTTAATGGACATAGAATCATAGCTTTAGATTTTACTTAGAGTCTTTCTACATGTACCATTCATAGTGGTGTCATCGCTGTTTGATCCAACATTTTTGACAGCGACTTTGTAGATGATTGCCCACGCCTTTGTACACATGTCACACTTATTAGAGATGGG